GGTCGTGGTTGCATAACACAGTCCAAACTGCATGATATTGAATTCGTACAAGCCGTCAGGCGTGACCAAGGCCAGTGTCATCAGCCACGGGTTTTTTCGCCAGTAGCCTGAGCGCAAACTGAGTGATGAAAAGAAATCTGCTCCTTGTATGCTGTCAACGGTGTGGTTCAATAGTCCAATACACAAAAGGTGGCAGCGTAGTCTTGACTTGTTACCTCACAGGGGTCCTGTTTGAGAGCACTACTACCTAATCTGTGCAGCAGTATAGTCCCGTGTCATTTTTTTAGATTTAACAGGCTTCTTTTATCGACAAAAAAAAAATTGTGCACGCAATTTGTACGTTGTCAGCCGTCACTTGAACATGCCTATATACGCCTCATTGGCACTCAGTATATGGCGAGTTATAAAAAAAATTAAGGCTATTTAACTGCACCTCCTCAACGAAAAAATTGGTAGCGACTACTACAGTAACTGAGAACAATATGCAGAAGGTGTGCATATTGTGCACAATTGAGAACATTTGGTGTGCTCTTTTTTTTTTTAATCGAGCTACATGATATTTGGGTGAGTGTGTGTGTACACTGCCGTCCTTTATGAAAGGCAACACGTGAACACGTGGCCTTCGCTCTGCGGAGGCTGCCTACAGCACCATCCACTAACAGCTAAAGAAAACACGTTCGCTTTCAGCGTCATCTGTTGCCCCCCCCCCCCCCCCCCCAAAAAAAAAAAAAAAAACCAGTTATGGCCAGTAGACAAGCGCTGTTAGATAGCCCTCCATCTCGGCTCACGCATGTAGTGCATAGCCCACTGCCAACATTTCGAACGTTGTGGGCGACCACGGCGCATGCTGCAGTAATCGCCCGATATTGCTCGCCGCACGAGTGGTGAGGGAACCTAATCTAGCAGCGCTTGTCTACTGGCCATGACTCGTTATCTTGCTTGGCCATAGATGATGCCAAAAGTGAGCGTGCTTTCTTCACTTGTCGGTTGATGGTGCTGTAGGACACTGTCGTTCTTTATGAAAGGCAACACGTGAACACGTGGCCTTCGCTCTGCGGCGGCTGCCTACAGCACCATCCACTAACAGCTAAAGAAAACACGTTCGCTTTCAGCGTCATCTGTTGCCCCCCCCCCCAAAAAAAAAAAAAAAAAACCAGTTATGGCCAGTAGACAAGCGCTGTTAGATAGCCCTCCATCTCGGCTCACGCATGTAGTGCATAGCCCACTGCCAACATTTCGAACGTTGTGGGCGACCACGGCGCATGCTGCAGTAATCGCCCGATATTGCTCGCCGCACGAGTGGTGAGGGAACCTAATCTAGCAGCGCTTGTCTACTGGCCATGACTCGTTATCTTGCTTGGCCATAGATGATGCCAAAAGTGAGCGTGCTTTCTTCCCTTGTCGGTTGATGGTGCTGTAGGACACTGTCGTTCTTTATGAAAGGCAACACGTGAACACGTGGCCTTCGCTCTGCGGCGGCTGCCTACAGCACCATCCACTAACAGCTAAAGAAGACACGTTCGCTTTCAGCGTCATCTGTTGCCCCTCCCCCCCCAAAAAAAAAAACCAGTTATGGCCAGTAGACAAGCGCTGTTAGATAGCCCTCCATCTCGGCTCACGCATGTAGTGCATGGTCCACTGCCAACATTTCGAACGTTGTGGGCGACCACGGCGCATGCTGCAGTAATCACCCGATATTGCTCGCCGCACGAGTGGTGAGGGAACCTAATCTAGCAGCGCTTGTCTACTGGCCATGACTCGTTATCTTGCTTGGCCATAGATGATGCCAAAAGTGAGCGTGCTTTCTTCACTTGTCGGTTGATGGTGCTATTGGACACTGTCGTTCTTTATGAAAGGGAACACGCAAACGCGTGGCCTGCGCGCTGTCAACCGACAAGTGAAGAAAGCACGTTCGCTTTTCGCGTCATCTATGGCCAAGCAAGATAACGAGTTATGGCCGGTAGGCAAGCGCTGCTAGATTACCTTCCCTCATCGCTGGTGCAGCGAGCGATATCGGGCGATTACTGCAGCTTGTTTCGTGGTCGCGCACAATGTTTGATATGTTGGCAGTGGACTACACACTGCAGGCGTGAGCAGAAAGAGAGTGCCATCTAGCAGCACTTGTCTACCGGCCATAACTCATTATTTTTTTTGGCAACAGATGACACTGAAAGTGAACGTGGCCCACCATCTGGCGTCGCTGAAACTGACGTTCGATGCGAAAAAATCGGCGGTACTGCGCTTTTCTGGGCCAGCAGACAAACGTGAGCTGGTGCTACCGAATGGCCAGCTTATCCCTCGCAGCACCGAGAACCAATACCTTGGGGTGACACTTTGCAATGTAGAGTGCTACGACTTCCACGAGCCCAAGATGAGGCAGTCGTCACAACGAACGATCAGCACCTTACGGAAGTGCTGCCTGTGGGGTTTTAATCGGTATGTCATTGTATGCGAGCTATGGAAGGCGGTACAAGTGCCTTGCCTGAATTTCGTGAACGCTGTCCTGTGCCTATGGACGAGCACCCGCGAATGGCTAGAGCGTGGACAGAAAGAGGTGGGCCGCATGGCCCTCGGCTGTCATGGAAGAGTGGCCACGAAGGCAGTCCAGGCTGACATCGGCTGGTCATCGTTCGAAGCCACGGAGCCGTGCAGCAAAATAGCATTGGAGGCCCGCCTCCAGCGTCTGAGCGACTCCCGGAGGGCCAGGCGCATTTTTCGGTACCTTCCCCGCAAGGGTATTCGGACCCAGTGGTCGAAAAGAGTTCACCGGCTGCGCGAAAAATTCAGCTTCTTGGGCGAAACGAACAGTGGCTCGCCCGAGGGCCTCACACCACGTTCGATGTGCACTCTATTCCGAGAGGTGGAAAGCGCCCAATGGTGAAGTAGTACTGCTTAAGTCCACCCTGCGGATGTATGGCAAACACAAGGCTGAACTAGGCAGGGAAAAACCCTATGACAACAGTGTAAACAGTGCTTTGCTGTTTGAAGCACATGCAGGAGCCTTACATACACTCACATACCGTCGCCACTTCGATCAGGACCTGCAGGTCCAAGTTGCTATCTGTCCCTGCTGCGCTGAAACGAACGAGAAGGCTGAACAGCTGATTCTGGATTGTGCCCGTCTTTCTTCGCGGCCAGCAGAGGGCACCATTTTGCGACAAGCGCTCGGATTCGCAGCAGAAGGTCATGATGCCACTGTCGTGTCGACAACAAAAGCTCATCTACAAATGAGGTGGAAGGCTACAGTGCAATAGAGACTGACAGGACAGACATGGCACTTCTATAGTGCAAAAAGACTTTTGTGAGAAGTGTGTGCCCGCTGTCTTTTTTGAGATTTTCTATTGCACGCCTTCTTTTCTCTTTTTTTCTTTTGCTTTACCTGCCAGGTCACACTGTGACCACCCGATTCAAAGGGAACAACCACCTATCATCATCACCATCATCGTTTCCTTTTGCTGTGGGTTGATGGTGCCATGGAGGAATGAAAAACTGAGGAGAGGCCCTATCTTATCCCAATGCATTGCGAGAACTGTGGAGGAAGTGACGTCAAATTTATGGGGCAAACAAAACAGCAGACGCTTCGCGGCGTGCTCTCAGCGCTGGTTCGCTTCTGCGCAGACTTATAGTCCGGGCGTAAACTTAGCACATATTGTATGGTTTGCGTGCAGTAAAATGTTGCGAGCGCACCTTTCCCAGACTGTTCGTGCATGGCAGGCCCGAGTGCGGCATGCTGAAATACTTTGTGGAATGTTTTTGTGCAGCAGCACAGAAAGCACCGGTACGTGTGGTAATCAAAAGAATTCAGCCCCTGCACCATCGTATTCGAACTCACCCGCCAGTGACTTACACGTTTTGCTCGCCGTAAGGCCTTTTTTTTTTTTTTTTAGCCAGATTTTCTTATCTATGGGCCGATTAGCAGTTCTTTGCTCGTATATAGTGTCAGTGTGGCAATGCGAGATTTTGAGAGCTTGCTTGGTAGCTATTCCGTGCAACGCCAGCCTAGTACTTGACGTACTTCACATCGGTAAGAAGGCACCACTGTATTGTATATGCGATCGTGCACGTAAAGCGTGCAATTCCAGCGCGCACACAACTAACACGCAGCGAGTGCACATTGTACAATACATACACATTTGGTCCGATAAGAAGAAAAGTTTATTGTCCTTCCGTATAAACGACAAAACTTCTAAAAACGCGACACGATGCCTACAACACTAAAAACAAAAGTTTGCGTGTGTTCTCAGTTGATACAAAGAGTAAAAACCAACGGAGCGTACAGCTAAGAGCTCCGCATGCAAATACCACGCATTATTGATCAACAGTGAAGCGAACATACGAGAAAAGTGCCACCAGGTACATCCGGCGGAGCACGCGATTCGCACCAAGTATACACTACAGCTGGGCATCGCACAGCTTTCCTAAAAACGCGCAAAAGAAGCAGTACTCGTGAATGGGCTTGCTGCCGGCAGAGAACACCTATCACTCCGTCGGCGCCGCTTCCAAGGGCGCTGCGGCGGATGCTCGCCGCAAATCGCGAACTGTTTATCTGCTTTTCCGCTAGGAGGTAGTGCGGGTGTTTGCGATGCGGCGGCTTCACGAATATGACGTCATGGCCTCTTCTATATTTTTCCCTCCTCCATGGATGTGCAGTAGGCAGCCGCCGCAGAGCGAAGGCCACGCGTTCGCGTGTTCCTTTTCATAAATGACGACAGTGTACACTATATACACGCACACAAAATGGCTGGAAAACGAATTCCGTGGCGGTTGGCTGAAGTTCTATGTCCTTCAGCCACGTCAGAAGCGCAGTAGGTACGCTGTCAACGCCTTGTAAAATAAAATACAAGTGGCATACGCCCTTTGATATTCACCGCTACAGAAATAGGATGCCACACTAGTTTTCATTTTTGATGTTCAAATGCCTTTCGAACACATTTTTGTGAAGGATTGCAAACAAACCACCACGTTTGAACCGAGCGTGCGACGAATGTGCAAGCACTTACCGACGGTGTCTCCGAGGACAACAGGCGCTGGAGCCGAGTGTCCGAAACGTCGGGTACAAGCACGGTTTTGTAAGGGTACTTTGCTAAGAGTGCATCGAGTTCTTCCGAGTCGGACGATGTTCCATTATCAAGGTCATGGTCTTCGCAACTCAGTTTAGCTGAAATATGCACAGCCCGCCTCACGCTACACATGCGAGTGGACGGCGGTACGCACCGCAATGCGCTTATAAAATGCCGATAAAATGCATTCATTGCAACAGGGACTATCATAGAAAAGAGGAAAGCACCACCATGCCAACGTCAAACGGTGACGATCCTCGCTGTAACGTAAAACAGTTTCCATGCGCGACCCACGTTGTTAAGCGAGCGGACGCCTTTTTGCGAACGTATTGCTTTGGATTGAACTGGTTCTGGCTTGCGCAGAACTGGCAAAACACAAACTAAATTTTGTGCTATTTAAAACGTTTAAAACGCCATTACTTCAAATTTAAGAGTTAAAAAACATGACAAAATCACAATTGAGATAAAAATAAAACACTTTATAACTATTATAATGAGTTATTTTTGCTTTAAACACAACCTATGATCTCGAGGAGGTTGCGTCACAGACACAACCAATTTTCAGTCTCGAAACACTGAAACCGAAACAACGAGCAAATTTAAATTTATGTGCGATGCCAAGTCGACCAAGTAGTGACAGTCGTTCTTGTGCGATCCTCCGCGACTATATTGTCGACAACGATACCAGCTCGTCATGGCCACGCCGCGGACGGACCCCAGCATTCTCGAGATCGCTGACATCATGAGGTACCCTGCCGCGGAAGACGCCTTCCTTCGTGAAAATGGACTGTTGCCGACGCCCGCGGTTCGACCTGCAGATAGATCCCAGGCAACTCGAGGGCGGCTGCCGACATCCGAGTACTGGGGTGTTTGCAAAGACCTCGGCTTTAATCCAGGTGAGCCAGGATGCGGTGGAGAAGTCGTGACGTACAATCGCCCAGGCAAGAAAGGAAGCAGACCAACTTTCAGGTGCAATAGTTGCAGAAAACAGCTGTCCCAGCTCCGCGGGACACCCGCTCTGCGCGGTAGGCAGGACCAATGTTCCTTTTTTGCCCGTCAAGACGCACTTGGTCGTCCTAACGTGAAACTCGCTCGACGGGAAATCATATGGCTGACGTACGCCATGGTGAAAGGGTTCTCGTTAAAGAACACGAGGGAGCTTGTAGAGAAGGTGTTCAAAATGAGCAACTCTACGTGGACCGGCTGGAGAAATTATATTAGAAAAGTGGCGCTCGCAGAGCTGCGCGAACAGCCGCCGATGGGTGGAGCAGGTGAGGTTGTCGAGATCGACGAATGCCCGATGAGGGGTCAGCGCAAGGCAAACCGAGATGGCGTTTCTAACGAGGGCCCCTGGATTTTCGGCATGCTGTGCGTGTCCACAAAGGAACTGAGGCTGTTCGATGTTGATAAAAGGGATGCGGCCGCCATTGGTTCCCTGATAGTTAAGAACATCCTTCCCGGGACGACGGTGTACACTGAAGAGGGGGCCGCGTACCAGTGCATACCAACACTTAAAGATGCCAACGACAGACCGCTAAACCTGGACTGGCACACCGTGAACCACAGTGACGATCGTGCAACAGGCGCCAACACGCAACACATTCAGAGTGAATGGCGAAAAGCCAAGTGCCGGCTCGTTCGCTACAGCAAGAAAACGTCTCCCTCACTGATGCCGTCTCACCTCGCCTGGCTTTGGTGGAGGTCGATAAATGCACGTCCCAACGTGAAAGACCCTTTCCTTCGGCTCATGGAGGCAATCGCTCGCCGTTGTCCCGTTTAAGGACAGTCTATCATGCGCCAACTGCGGCGTGATCAACATGCTGGGAGATTTGTTTTTTCGTGTTCTTTTTATCTATTCCGTTTATTTTTATATCGCGCTTTTTCAAGCTGGGAATAAACATTCATTAATAAAAATTTTGGTCGTTTGTGCTTATTGTGAGTAGGGCCCTGCTGGCGACGGTGGCTCGCCGGGTGGGGTCCCATTTACAGGTACGCGCGAGTCGCGCTTAACTCGCTCCAGCAGCGGCGAAAAAGCAGCCTTTCGGGCGTATGTAATCATAATCATCAGCCTGACTACGTCTACTGCCGGAGAAAGGCCTCTCCCATGTTCCGCCAGTCACCTAAGTGCTTACTGCTGCCACTTTATATCCGCCAACATCCTAATCTAATTTACCCACCTAACTTTCTGTGTCCCCCTAAACCACTTGCCTTCTCCATGGGAATCCAGTTGGTTATCTTTAATTACCAGCGGTTATCCTGCCTACGCCCTACATGCCTGGCCCATGTCCATTCTTATTGATTTCAACTATGAACCTTAACACCGATTTATTCCCTGATCCACCCCTGCTATCTTCTTGTCTCTTAAGGTTACGCCTAACATTTTCCTTTAGATCACCCTCTTTGTAAGACTCCAGGTTTCTGCTCCATTGGTAAGTACCGGCAAGGTGCAGCTGTGGCAACATTTCGGCGCGCACACAGTGGACGGGAGAACGGAAGGCTATAGGAGACAAACAAGCGCGAACTCACAACTCAGTTACCCTGGAATAATGTATTCCAGGGTAGCTCAAGGGTGCATCTGCGAATGAAAAGCAAAAGAAAGAACGATAACACACCATGGCGCATTTTTTTTTTTTTTACATAAGTGGTATCTACAGCGTGCAGCACAATGTAGAAGTCAAGTATGGCTTTAAAAGGTGAATTCCTTGTAGAAGCCATTCCTTGTACACACAGCTACGGAGATCTTCCATGCTTCGACGACACGATTCCAGAAAATTCAGTTCCCCTTCAGCGTGTAGTAATGGAATGCTGCTACAATTGTTCCTCCAAACTGCTCCAAAAAAGAAATGCTGCTTCATGCTGCTCCAGAGTGCAATATTTCCTAGTAACTGCTCCAAAATGGTGTTGTCAAACTAAAAAGAATGAAGTTGAACCATGGAACCATCCCGTGAGGATAAGCGAAACCAATAGCAAGCTGTATACACCATTACTCAGTGGCGTAAATCGAGAAAAATCTCAAGAGGTGGCACATATCAGGCCATGGTGTTGAATTCATATTTTTAATATGGGTTGTATATTTATTTTTATAGAAATTAAATCATGCTTTTAAATAAAATAAACGAGCATAGGGTCCAAGCTCGAGCAATTGCATTGTTCTACTCAGTCCTTTTTTTTTCACCTTTTTTTTCGATTTTCATAGTTCACACAGCTGAGAGGCATTTACCACAGGTATATGTAGTAAAAGATAAAAACCTTTTTAAAACGTTGATTGCGCTATATTGAACTGTTAACTCAATTATGTCACGTGCAAAAGCTAAATCCCACGTGGGACACTTGCAAGGGGTGTCCTCCCACAGCCTGAACACCAGAAAAGTCCAGACTCTCTTGATCCCCCCCCAACTATACTGTTTGTATAGTAGCGTACGACTTGTTTAATAATAAATACAAATATTTATTACATGCTTAATAAGGGATGTTTTAGACTTCAGGAGTTGTTGAGAACATGCATCTGCTCCGAAAACACCAATAGCATCCCTAAGCTGTAGCATTTTGTTTTCTGCCCCGAAGACACTTAAGGCTGCTCCGAAGCACCATTTTTTTTTATGCTCCAGAATCTGCTCCAAAAAGCAAAATGTCGCTTCTGTCACTGCTCTTACGCGTCGTTACGTGTGGATTCTTTAATGACGGTCGCGATCGAGACCGACATCTGCAATGCGCGTTGTAGTACGTTAGGCACTGCGCCGTGCTGATGCTGATGCTGATGACCTCTGATGAATGGCGCTTACCCACTAAGGGGGATAGGCCAAGAACCGGGCGGCAGGATACTTAAATGAAACTAAAATGAAAATGAAGCCAATCTGAAAAAGTAGCTTAAAATAATACTACCAAAAAACAAAAATATTTGCTGAGCAAGCGGTCAAACCATCTTTTGTTTTTGAAAGACATAACTACGAATTATAAACTAAAGATCTGAAAAGGTAAGGGTTCACTAGCATGGTAATCTTTTAGTTGCGTTGATGTAATCAAACACAGCGGAGCATACATCCCTGTGGCAGTAACCAAATGAAGTTCCGCCAATTGATAAAATTACTGGTAGATTTACTTGTATTCCTAGCTTTTGTAATGGGGCTACTAAAAATCTTTTTCTCTGATAAGAATAACGATGACAGAATAAAAAGAAATGTTCAATTGTTTCAATTTCGTTGCCCCAAATGCATAGCGGTGACGCCTTGAGCCGAGCTTCGTTAAGGTAATAATTTAGTTGTGGAACTGCACAGCGCAATCTGGTATAAGTGACCTCTAACTGGCGAGATACACACCACTGTTTATTCCAGCAATAGCTCAAATGCTCGAAATCTTTGAATTTATCCAAATTACCTTTTCCCCATTGCAGGCAAGCATTTTGGAACCTTAGCGCGGTTACGTAAGCCGTATCTGGCAAAACTGGGATGGTGGGCCCACCCAGGGATACTGCCGCTAAAGAGTCCGCCATTTCGTTCAAATATAATCCGCGGTGACCTGGTACCCATAGCAAATGCAGTTTTTTGACGTTTTTCGGTACTAAATGCCGAAACGTATTCATCAGCTCTGAATTTACTGCCGCAGAAAGTGCATTACAAACTGATAACGAATCTGTAATGATAACTGCTAATGATTCGCTTGAGGGTAATTTGCGTAGGGCAAGAACAATGGCCAATAATTCTGCAATGAATACCGGGGTATAATCTGGGAGTCGAATCGAAAAGGACCAGTCCAAAGAAGGAGAGAAGATGCCAACCCCAGCCTTTTCTTTTGACACAGATGCATCAGTCGCTATGATATTGCTTATCTCTAGGTGAGCTAGATAATCTGCTAACCGGTCATTTAAATACCTATATGCCAATTGTTTCGCGTTATAAGGAAATATATCATCGAATTGTATGCTAAGCATTGACTTTAGGTTGTGTATTGGACCAATATGTCTAATTTTTACATTCAGTTGCTTTAGTAGCGCTTGTGCAAATACTATTTGCGGGGTGTGTAGTCGCGACCAATGGGTTTCGAAAAATAAAGTCGGTTCTTGAATGAAAGCGTAAAATGAGAGTCTTTGTTCTGAACTTTATATCTTTAAGAATGCTTGCACAGTAAGAATTTTAAACATATTTAGCAGAGAAGGTAGGCGAGCTTCCATATACAACACGTTATTTGCAACAAACTTTGGTAGACCCAGACACAAACGCAACGCTTCTCTTTCCAGCAGTATTAGGGGTCTCATTTTATAAGCTGCGCTGCCAGAAAATAATACACATCCGAATTCCATGATGGGCCGCACATAAAGTTTATATATCATTATTAGCACATCTCTTCTTAAACCCGCTTTACGGTTTGCAAGCTTCCGTAGCCACCCCATGGCCCGTGTTGCCTTGAAGTACACATCATCAATGTGACTTCTCCAATTTAATGTGTCATTATATATGATGCCCAAATATTTAAGGGAATTCGCCTGCGGAATGAGCTCATTACTGTACATTAACGAGATGTTGATAGGCTGCAGAAAAGAGAATGCAAGAAGCACACTTTTCTTTACGTTCAGGGTCATATGAATATTTTTAAGCCATCTTTCTATCAAATTGAGATAATTTTGTAGACTCTGACATAATGATTGAAGGTCGGTGTTACTTGCAAAGAAAGCAATATCGTCCGCGTACACATATAACTGAATATCCTTAGTTGATGGAACGGAGCTTAAGAAAATGTTAAATAAAACTGGCGACAAGACAGCCCCCTGTGGTACGCCACGTGTCTGCTTATATCTATTCGATGAGCACCCATCTTTAAAGCAGTAATATTCTCTCCCTCTTAAAAACTCCGACACCCACGCAGTGATGTAGTTGGGAAAGTGGTGATATTCCATCTGTTTTAATAAAATTGAGTGCTCAACCCTATCGTACGCTTTAGCCAAATCTAGAGTAACTAAAGCACAGTATTGGCGCCGACGCCGAGCCAGTTGTATTCGGCTCTCTAAATCAACATGTGCACACCATATTGAGCAACCAGATCTAAAACCAATTTGACTGGGGTTTAATATTGCGTTATTATTAATATATTTTATTAACCGGGCATTCAAAACTCTTTCAGTTAGCTTAATTAGATTTGACGTGAGTGATATCGGCCTTACATTGTCCAAGGCGAATCCTTTTTCCTGCTTTTTAAGAAGCGGAATCACTTTAGACCGCTTCCATTCCGCAGGTATCCAAGCTTTTGTCAAAGAAAAATTCACCAGATTAAGTACTTCAGTTGGACAAATCTCGAATATTACTTTTATCATTGCATTTGTTACCCCGTCTGGTCCAGGTGCCAAAGGAGATAAGTGCCTTATTATCTCTGCCAGCTCATCTAAAGTAACCTCCTCGAAATCCTCACCTGCCATTGGGTTCACAATGTGCAGTGGTATAGTCGACATAAATCTATCTTGGAGCCCTTTCGCAATATTTTCTACTAAATCAGAGAGCTCACGGGGGGAAAGAACAGAAGAGTCAATGTTTTCAGCGGGTGGTAACATCTTTTGAGATCTTAAAAATCTGAAGAGCGCTTTTTTGTTTTTAGCCCTAGAAAAATACTCATGTCGTTCATATTATAACCATCTTTTGCTTTACTTACTGTGCGTTTGAAGTCTGCTGCTGTGAATTCATAATCACACCAATTTTTTGGACATTGGTTGACCAGTAGTTGTTTCCATGCAGCTTTCCGTTTTCTATAGCTCCTCATGCACTCTTCAGTCCACTATGGACTAAAAGAACCTCTTGTGGCCGAGTCTAATTTAAACGTTGCGTCTTTTACTGATCTTTTTAACACTGCACACAGACTCATAGCCCTAATGTCACCTTGTATGTCCTTGCGGTGATCAAAAGTAGTCCTCAAGTCTTTTTCTAATTTTCTATAGTTGAGGAATGAGCGGGCCTTTTCGGCGACATGTATTCTTGGAAAGTTCAGTACAGAACTAATAGGCAAGTGGTCACTGTTAGTAGCACAGTCTAAAGTTTGCCACGAACATATATTTAGAGATGAGCTTGAAAATGTCAAGTCAATTACAGATTTAGAGAGACCTCGGACAAAAGTAGCAGATTGCGAATTTAAACAAGATAAATTCTTGTCAATAGCCCATTCCCACAAGCGTTTTCCGCTTAAATCTGTTTTAAAACCCCAGGCCACATGATGTGAATTGAAGTCTCCAGTGATTAATATATCCTTTCTGCAGGCAGAAAACATATCGTCTAGACTTCGTGTGTCTTGCACCCCGGCTGGGAAATACGCATTTACAAACGACAAGGGAGAAGCGTCTGGTAATATTATGTCTACTATCAAAATTTCACAATCTGGAGTCACACAACGATAAGAGATCGTAGCTTTGTGACTAAACTTAGTTGCTATCAAGACAGCAAGCCCACCACCTCTGCTAGGCCGGTCCAATCGAAATAGCTGATAATTTTTTAGGGAAAACTTCTGGCTGGTTGAAAGCCAGGTTTCTTGCAGTGATATAATATCCGGGGAAAGTTGTGAAGAAAGGTATGATAGGTCTGTGGCTGCGGAAAATATAGATCTGCGATTCCACTGTAATACGTCGTGCTCTCGACCGGGTTGCAGAAATTAAGTGCCTTTCTCATCTTCTAACCACTACCACCACCACCTAGTTCCGTTGTTCATTAAAACGGCTAACGTCGCACACGCACTCCCAAAATACACCGCGTACGACACAAAGCCCTCACGGGGAAGGCACAATGCTTAAAAATATTACTGTAGCACAACCACGGTGTAAGAATACCGTGAGCACAACTACAAGGGCACATTTTTTTTTTTCGCCAAATCTGGTGGCAGCCTGGAAACAACGAACCCTAAATCTGGCAACTAACCAACTAATGCAACCAGAGCAACGACCAAAGCATACAACGTCTAACAGAAGCTTGCCTCTTTATCGAGAGCATATTCGCTGTCTCGCAGACCAGTGGGAAGATATACGAACCGTGCGCTAGTTTTTTTTTTCCCCCTCTGAGTTCTAGGCGCGAAACACCAGGCATGCCGAATAGATGAGGCGTAACGCTGGGTCGGCTGCCTCGCATTCCCCGTAGATTAGTGGACGAGTGCTGCGCGTGCCGAGCGCTGCCGGAGCGGCGATGTGGGCCCTACTGAGTCGTGTCGCGGTCTTTCTGTTCATGCAAATAAGGCCGACGGTCAAGTGGGTCCTCCGCAATCTGACGCGCTTGTGCGAGTTGCAGCGCATTTGCTACGGGACCGAGCGGGGATGCGAGCGCACTCGTCAGCTCGAGTGGAGCTTGCAGATGTCGCGCACCCCGGCCGTGCGGACCATCTACGAAAGGTTAATGCAACTCGCCGACGAAGGCCGCTTCACCAAGGAGCTGTGCGTGAACGCGGTCGATTACGCCGTCATCGGCGTCGCCTACGTCAAGAAGATCAACACGCAGGTGCACCGCGAGTTCGTGCGCTCCTTCCGGACCAGCATGCTGCAGATGTGCGGCTACCGGCAGCTCGTGCACGAGGTGGAGCTGCTGCGCAAGATCCAGTTCGTGGCGCAGGACCCCGAGCACCTGAGCAAGCTGCTGCGGCTGTGGAAGCTGCTGCGACCCGACGAGCACCTGCGCGGCCCGGTGTCGAAGCAGTGGACCGAGGTGGGCTTCCAGGGAGAGGACCCGCGCACCGACTTCCGTGGCATGGGCATGTTGGGGCTGGAGAACCTGGTCTTCTTCGCCACCGAGTACACCGAGGTGGCGCGCCACGTCCTCTCGCACTCGCTGCACCCGCAGTACGGCTACTCGTTCGCCATCGTGGGCATCAACCTGACCAGCCTGCTGTACCACCTGCTCGTCAAGGGCAAGCTCAAGTCGCACGTGTACAACGCGGTCGTCGAGCGTCCGCACGTGGACGACTTCCACAGGGCGTACTGCTACGTCTTCTTCGAGTTCGACAAGTTCTGGCTGGCCGAGAAGCCGGCCGACATCATGGAGTTCAACCGCATCCGGGATAAGTTCGAGGACCGGCTGGTGCAGATGCTCGAGAGGGACGACTGCCTCTTCAAGCTCAGCCTGGCCGTCAAGAAGGTCTGAGTGGGCTGCCATCAGTGGTACGCCAGCCTAGTGCTCGGCTCACACTTGCCAGAGCTGTAAACCAGCTCACAGTGCTGCGTGGGGTGCTGGTGGTGAAATTATTGCCGGATGACAGGCAGAGTCCATGCAATGCCCGGTAAGAAAGAAAAAAAAAAGAAAAAATGCAATTTCTGTACCCACCGCGCTCATACACGAACTGCCCATGTGCCATAGCTCGGATATACCTGTGATCGCAATCGCGTCTTCATAATCACAAATTCATTCTCTTATGTCTGGCATACTCTCTCACTTTAAAAGGGAAGGTGCTCCTCGATGCGCATATTTTAATGTGAATATTTTACACCTGTGATTTTTACGTGTTTTCTCAAATATCACATGATCACCCCTGGTGTGTTTATTTTTGTGTTGTTTTCCAAAACGTTTGCAATGCATCTGGGAAAGGTTTTGAAAGGTACACGTCATATTGGTTTGTGCCAGTTTGCAAAGCAGAGATGAGTGCGTTTAATTTATAGACATTTATGAAGTGCAAAACTTGGGGTGGTTTGGGACTTCTTTCTTCTTGGTTTGCATTAGTTTGTGTGTTCAGATGTTTTAAAATACTTTAGTTGTGACTTGCAGTATTGTTCTGAGTAGCTGAAAACACAACTCAAAAGCTGCTTTCTTTCATGGGAGTGTATGAGACAGCTTCCATAAACCTACAGAGAAGCAGTTAGACCATTCGTGATATTCAAATATTGAAGCGATTGTCATAAGCTACAGTTCACATTTTCGTTTGCTAATGATCCCCCTCTGGACATTCGCCTGTGCAGAGCTAATCATTTTCAAGTGCAGCATTAGATTGTTATTCAATAGTATTTGTGGTGCTAGTCGTCACCAATTCTCATTTAATTATCCCTGCACTCTAGGATGCTTCTTAAGTTGCCTTGCCTCGGAAATGTGAGCTGCAGTGTTCGCTCAGTGACGAAAGTAGTCAGTGTGCCTTGTACTGTTTCATGCATGGCATGCGATGCTGTGGACACTGATAAGACTTAGCGAGGGTGAAAAACAGTGCAAGACGAAAAAAATGGGGTAAACTGTATGTGCACTGGACAACACCTATTTTATTGGCTGCTGCTTTCCATGAAAGAGAAGTAGTTCAGTGTATAATCCTGCAAATATGCAAAATTGTTCTAACTTTAAAGAGCCAGTAAATATGCTCCAAGGTTTTTTTTTTACACCTCTCAAACAAGCCTAGCAATTTTTACAAAGGACTGTGGTGATCACATTTTCAGCATATTAGAGCGCCGGGTGCCGTGCAGACCTTTGATTTCGAAAAACAGTTCCTGGTACCCTTTTCCTTCTGGCCAATCCCCCTTGTGCTCGCAGTGATGCAAACTTGCCCATGGACAACTTGATGTAACACTGAGCTCATCGATTGGTCCTTTGCCCTACGAAATGGTGCCTTGGCCCTGTAGTAATGCTGTTTTGGCCATACAGTTCGCATTTTCATTCTCCTCTACTGCCCTCTGCCGTTTTGTAGAGCCCGAGACTACTGGGAGAAGCAGTATTGCCAAAAAGCCTCCAAGATAAGGAGGCGTCGGGCTACTTTACCGCTATGGTAAAGGTGCTCCTCGCATCGCGCCTCCTCCTTGTGTCGCTATAACATGTTCAGATGTGGAGGAAACCCTGCTTGGTCATTGGCTCAGCGCTGATGACATATCGCTGACATCGTGTCGGAGTGCCGCAGTAAGCAGGGTCACGATGAAAGGCCATTTCCCTCCCTATGGTTAAGAAGGTGTGAGAATTTGAGAACAGCTGAAGCGGATGTTCTAACTGCTGTAGCTTTCTTATTTCAAGGTAAACTGGTGCGTGCAAATTAAGAAAAGGACACAGAAAAGATGGGACAGGGACAAGCACAAACTTTCAACTGAATTTTATTATTCGTCAGCTTTCAAATATATACTTATGATCAAGCATAGTCATGTGGTCACATGGTCAAAACCATACAACTTACAGGAATACACGCAGAAAATTATGCTCACTATCAAATAAAAATACTGATGTGTCGCTAACACAAGCATTGCCTCTTGCAGATATATAAAAGGCTCCCATCAGTTCACCGGCTGTGGTGTCACCGCTCCTACCCAAAACCTTAATCTCTCTGAAAATCGATGAGCACATGCAAGCTTGGCAATCCACGGGCAAATGTGCATTCCCATTACTTCTAAATAAAAGCTCATGTCTTCTTCCACGATCATTCACGCAATGCCCCATTTGACCTACGTAAGATTTCCACAAGATAGCGGTATTTCATAGACGACGCCAGTCGCACATTTTGCATATGCCAAGGCATGCTTTGTTCCTCAACCGCTGGATTTCTTCTCGCCAGAGGATATTCTGAGATAGAGCCCAGCCAGTTTATCCAGAATATCACCTGGCTGGGGTTACTGGCTTGGGGTTGTTTACTGGCCCTTTAAGCTGAGTAATAAGGGGAGACTAGTTAGCACCTTAAAAATAATCTTGCTGCATTGTGAATTCGTCAGCAGATCCTTTCTTAAACATTTTAAGTCTTGCTGTTTCTTTTTGAGTTTTTCATTCACAGCTTCTCACATTTTGTGCACAGTCTTGCACAAGTATTTACAACCGGGAAATGCACAACATTTTACATTTTGCTTGCCCAACTTCTTGAGTAGTTTCCACAGCATTGCAGGCTGTGGTATCGGTGTAATGAATATTATGAAGCTAGGAAAAAAAAGTTGTCTTCCGTCACGGTGGTCTAATGGCTAAGGTACTCGGCTGCTGACCCGCATGTCGCAGGATCGAATCCCTGCTGCAGTGGCTGCATTTCCGATGCAGACGGAAGTGTTGTAGGCCCGTGTGCTCAGATTTGCGTGCATGTTAAAGAACCTCAGGTGGTCGAAATTTCCGGAGCCCTCCACTACGACGTCTCTCATAATCATATGGTGGTTTCGGGACCTTAAACCTCACATATCAATCAATCAGGCAAAATTTGTCGCTGCCAGATGGCAAGAAATCCTGCACAAAAATGATGTGCGTGCAAAAAATAAGAGTATTAGTTGCAAAAAATAAAAGTTATTGGCATGTCTTTGTCACAGGAAACACCACTGCCAAACAGAACAAGAAAGACAGACAGCACTTGGCGCTAGCTAACATGTATTTTTATGGAAAGGAAAATAACAAAATAGTGGGGAGCATGGAAGCCCTATGAATGCATCTCAGCTGGTACTTGAACATGCAAGGTCCATTCTTGGAGAGAATCTTCTTGTTAGTTAGTACAATGGCCAATTAATGATAGCCCATCGGAATGAATCATAAATGCTTCGCCAAATTCTGAGGTTCCGCAATCACGATATCTGCGCAGGGTGCGTGTCTGTTCGATATTAGGAGTGCAACTGCACTTGGTCAAAGAAATTGCTTGATCACTTCCAGTGTCGGTTTTGAGATTGTTTTGTGCTCTCACAGCCATTTGTTATTGCAGGAACCTGTCTGGCTGACGTAGCAGCCACAACGAGACGTTGGTATCGCGTAGATAACTTGAGTCTTGTGGGGCACAAACCATGTCACATGTTGCTTCTGAGAAACTGAAAGCTTTCGGTGACAGGTGTTCACTTTCTTGTATAATGATCTAAGTTTAGTTTCTGTTTTTTTTTTTGTCCCATTTGCTCTCGTTTCCTGTGATATGTATAAAAAAAAATCTCTACGAGTACTTTTCTGCCTGGCAGTGGCAAAACTCTGAGGAACAAACCAAACTAGGACATTAACAACGTGCCATGGTGCATCCACATTCTGGATGTCAGAGTAAAAACAGGTGTTATAGATAATTATTTAGTGCACTAGTATATGTTCATTGTATTCACTAGTGCATGTTTGCAATGCTTGGTTTCTTTGATGCTATACGATGAGAAAGTGACAATGACATGTTAGTACTCCATTATACCAGCCAGTTAGAACGTCGTGAAGATCTCGCTCAGTAGTAATTCTGCTGTTACATTTGACCACCCTATCTTCAGTGCAGTTTGTGAAGCTGTTCAAAAGAATTTTCCCCATATGAGATATGCTGTGCTTCCCTATAGAGTAGGTCTGCTGTTCACAATTTGTGCGTGTCTGTGTGGAGTTTATCACTGCGAGTTTGAAGACATAGCCTTAGTTGTGTACACCAGATAGGTATGAGTACAACAGATCAGCATTAGTGAAGCAAGAGAACACTGCATCCAAGAACAGTCATGGTGTACTTCTGTCCTTGACCCAGTGATGCTGTGTTCACACTGGAAATGGCTTGTAGAACTTGGTAAAACAAGGTTTTACAACAATGGGGTGTTGGTATTCAGAGTGCTCAGCGGTTAAAATGTGGTAGATAATTGAACTGCATGTAGGGCAGCAATTTTTGTGCTATCAGTGAGCTCTGAGCGCTTTCTTGGGGGATCGGAGTCTAAGTGCAGTCAGACTGGGTAACAGAAGCTCTCGTTTTGGTTACATATCACAACACACTGTCCCAAAAGCCCACTCGTGTTTCGATAACTGGGGGCAGTTACATGCCCTAAGTATCCTACTTTAATTGCTTCGCACGATACACTGTCTCTGAGTTGTAAACGAATGTAAGCTGGCAGTTGTTCATTGTGCCACGATTCAATGTGGCAGATTTCCTCTTGCCGTAGTTGTGAACGTTATTGTGGCAAGGTTCTGTACTGGCAGTAGCCTCTGTTAGAATGTGCAATGCGATAAATTAATGAAGGGCATGCAGCCGACCATGACATCAGGGGTTCAGCTTTTGTGTGTGGTGACTGCTGTGTTTTGATAAGGGGCAGAACACAAAAAACACCTGTTTTTGTATTCACGCATTCAGGTGCATGTTAACGTCACCTTAAGTGGGCCAAATAAGCTACAATGCTTTAACTACAAGATCCTTCTTAGCCTGCTGTGTGTTGCTTTAACATACAAAGCTCTGGAATTCAATTTTTTTTGGTTTTCTATTTCTCATCGGTAAGTGTAATTGTAGGTGCAGGGCATATCACACTCGACAAAATTGTTCGAGTGGTTTGCTTTAAGTTGTGTTGGCTGAGCCTGTAGAGAGTGTTAGTTCAAGGTAAGGGTGCATTTTGATTATGTGGTACAGCTCGAATCGAGAGGACAGCTGTTTTATTTAGAGATTTTAGGAATAGCAGTGATGTCTCTTACATTGCTAGATCATAAGTAGTGACAGGATTCATTTGATATATGCGCTAGAGTTGCCAAATCAAGGGCGAGTTTTTGAAATGTGCTGTGAGATATTTTTTTTTTGTACCTCCTCATCAGAGTTAATGTGGACACGATGCTAGTTGAGCAGTGTACTTTTTATAGGCCCGGCTAAATAACGTGTCAGTATAGGGAAGGGGCTGCGAAATGCGTGAGAAATATTTTCTTTTTATCAAAGAGGCACGGCAAAGATGGCAGATAATGAAAGTATTACAGGACACGAGTGCTCTAAATTAATTATTCACTAAGAATGCATTATCGACCATCCTACGTTGTTCCAGCTGGTGCTAGTAGAAACACACATATGGTATTTGCAGCCAGCATTGCCTCCTTGCAAAAGGTGTGGTACCTTTGCTCCAATTTTTATGCACACACTGGGTATTCTTGATCCACAGATGGTCTTCCCCTCTTTTAACCCTCCTGCAGTTACGTGATGATGAGATGTGATGACACGAACCTTGCTGCCACCACGTTTTGTGGCGTTGTTGCACCTCTACTGGCCTATGGGTAGAGACGATTCTGGTAGCATAGCACCAGAGCTCCCTCCACCCCCTCCTTCAGAAAAAAAGAAATACTCAAGTATCGTGTCCCAGAACTTTCAACAACAAACAGAATGAAGTTTGTTGATGCACCTTGTGAGATGCCTGTTTCAATGTTTTCAAACAAAATGAATTCCTGTTGTTCCTCAAGATCTCAAGCACAGATATGCAGAGAATATTGTGGCTAATAGTTCTTAAAGTTAATTTGTAAGTGTTGTCGGTAACTACTGAGAAAAACTGTTAACGCTCAGGCTTTCGACACCTGCACTGCTTCAGCTTGTAAATGTCTTTCTCACCTGCTGCATGGATTAGCACTGGAAACTTGAGGGGGCCTCACTGGTGTGATATAATGCCGTGTATCATTATCGATTCCAGGGTCTCTTGCTTTGTTAGCAGCAGAATTGTTTATAGTCTACTCTTGTGTACAAGAAGCTTTCATGTCACTACCCTTTTTGTACAACAGTGCACACAACTAATGATAAAGGCCGAAGAAACAGCACATTACGAATGTGTTAGGGAAAGAGCATTGTAAAGCTATTCACGTCCCATTGCAATGTAGGCAATTCAGCTCTCCTGTCATTCTCTATATCGTATTCATTGCAAAATGGACAATGTCTATGCAACACACTTTGCACATTTAGAATGAGCAATCACACTTTCCCCTTGCTTGTAGGTGCATGTGACTGATTTATAGGAGCACTGGCACAAATGTTTTATGGCGAGAT